CTTCGGTGAAATTTAACGTCAATCAGCATTTTCAAAAAAAAAAAAAAATACTGTATCTCTCTTTGCCATTAAGCCCCTAAAATCGTTAGGAAGCAATTACAGTTTATCAGTATAAATTACATCGTTATTATCATTTCGTGTATTACATTATAAGAAAGTTAATCTCAACGATGTTAATTCACCATGTGATGTAATAATAAAACAAGAAAAAAAAACGGTAATTAATGTTTTACAAATGTACATACACGAGCAAATGAGCTGATGTCTGAAAATCATCCGCAAAAATAATCATAAAACTAATAATATCATCACGCGTGGCAACGCTCTTGGGGAAGAAAGTTTTTGTTGTATACTGAAAAAAAAAGAAAAACAAGTAAGAAAATTAAATTTGGTCGGGACCGAATCTTTTATACCGTTCAACGTTTACCCCAAGAAAAGACAAGGGAAGTAAAAGAAATATATTCTCATGGTCTATAATATGGAACGGAGGCAGTTGATTTCTTTCATTTTGAAAATAAAAGTTTTTGTCGTAGCAGCAGGTGGGCATTGCAGGCGTGTCCTTTGAAAAGTTTAGGTCAATTCCGAATTCTTTTGCAAATTTTTAGGCAATGTATTTACACAAAGTTGCGCAAACGGACCGATGGACAGACGAACAGGCGGACATGTTCAGATACGTTCAAGGGTTGTTGTTGGCCAGGAATTTGTATATTTTGTGGTGTTTTTGAAGCTTGTTTCTGGGCGTGGTCCATTTTTTCCGTTTTTGTACATAGATGCTACAGCATCGCCCGTAGAATATTCGTTCAAATTTTTGTACATTTATTTGCCATAGTTTATGAGTAATAAGCAAAAAACTAATTTTTCATTGCCTTTGAAAAGAGAGGTGTTCTCAGCTTGCGCGGTGCGTGCCCTTTGACCGATTTGGACCATTTTTGATACCAACCTGCGTGCAATAACTTGCAATGTTGTTGCCAAATATGAACTCGATGGCTTCATTTGGACCGCTAGGAGAATGTTTAAACAGACATTACAAAGACGGACAGACGGACATGATCAAATCGATTCAGGATTTCACGCTATTACGAATATATATTCTTTGTGAGGTCTCTAAAACTTCCTTTTCATTTTGCTAAAATGAATATATTCCGCATTCTCCGGTGATGGATATAAAAAGAACTAAAAAGCCTGCAAATATCATAGATACAAAAAGAATTACAGGTTTATGTACAAAATTTTACTTGCCTTTAAGAATTGATTGCTTATATATTTATATAAACCACTTGGCTAACTTATGCTCTTCAAAAGATATGTGACACGGCCTTATATGTACAACCAATTTTCGCCTGACAGCCGATAATTAGCTTAATTAACTAGCTAAAAATAAAAAGAAAGTAAAAGAAGAAAAAAATTACAACCGTCTTAACATCATTTAATAACCAATAGATGTTAATAATCATAAATTTATTCCCTTACAAATATCGCCTAAGGCATTCGCAATGAACCTGAAAGCAGTTCTGTCATCCCATTTTATCTTCGAAAATTCGATCTTTTAGGTTGAACACAAATACACATGAACAAAGACATAAAATGGTATATTCCACGCCTTTCTAGACGTTACATAAATCCATTGAAACTTAATACATTGTTACCTTACCCTTAAAAGAGGATCAATGTGAAAAATAACGGCGCTTAAACGATGTTTTATTGTAAATAAAGTTTTCCATAATTGACAGTTGGGATTTTATACAAGCATAGGTGACGTTTTCAATAAACGTAACGTAATGACATATTCTTGTAGTGCAGCCTAAGCCCACGTAAAATCACATAGACTTGGTAGTGTCCATATAGTAATGATAATATATAAAAGACTTATATATAACACATAGGGACGGGTTTGTAATTTTAGACATTGGCTAATTAAAAACCAGAGCGCACAGGCAAACAAATTCGTGTTTGTTATTTACTCGGACACGGAAAAACATATGAAATATTTAGTGCGTTAAAATCCTTTGGCAAAATTTATTATGTTTTCCATGAGGTGTAAAATAAAGTAAACAAGTAAGAAAATTAATTACATTCTGTCGTCACCGCATCTTTTATACCCATCACCGTCATCGTAAACAAGGCTTGCAGGAAGAGAACTACATTTTCCTACTCTACGATAATAGATGGTCGCGGCTGATTTTTTCAATTTTTCTGATGGAAGTGAAAATTTATATGATAATCTTTACGCGTAATAAGCTAAAAACACGGAGAACAAGCGTTCACAGTTTTTATTGCATAGGCGTGTGGGCATGGTAGAGATATCCGAGTAAATTTTGGGTCATTTTCAAATTCTTTTGCCCATTTTCGCGAATGGGAGGATTTAAAAAATTGCCCCATCTGATCAAAATTTTTCACAATACTTTAAAATATCGAAACATGCTTCCTCAGCGATTTTTATGAGGAAATTTTTCAAACTTTAATCCCTTTTCTTTATACAACGACTATCCAAAATACAGCATTACCTAGGAAATGGTCGCAATAGTAGTTCAAACCCAACCGTTTATATTAGGTTTCATCCCTTTGCTTGGCTCGATGTAGCGATTTGCATTTCGAAAACTGCGGCCTTGCAGATTGAACAGACATGAGCAGACATCAGACGGACAGAGGGACAGATCACCTTATCACAACTATTTTCCATAACCGGCATAATAAAAGATGGAACTATTGTTAGTCCTTTTGAGTATTACATAAAGCCGTACAAACTTAATATATTATCCACTACAAGTGAGATAAGAAAAGGAAACAGCGAGGAGAACAGAGAAATTGCTAACAAAGAAGTGAATATATATTAGGTTATATTGAAAAGTCCGCGCGGTTTTGTCCGCAGTTTCGAGCATCTTTTTGTAGCCTGCTTTTCTCAAACGATTCTACACTGCCCTGTGATTAGTACCTTCGCTGACAGCTTGCGTATCGGACTTGCTTTACCAGTTGAAAAATTTCATCGACTTTTTCAGTGACTGCGAGGTGCATCTTTGACTTTGAAATTTCTGGAACGGGACCGAGCAAACCACGCCTGGGTCCTTCGTTCACTCACAGCATTCTCACCTTACACTTCACAAATTTTGTTTTTTTTTCTGTAGCGTTTTGACCTTTTTTTTAGTAAACAACATCACGTAGCGTATTTCGTCAAATATTTCATTCATTTTCAAATCAATATAAATTTTTACACGAGCAAAGAATTAGATAACTATCTTCGCAAAATATGTAAGTTGAAATATCATCTTTTAGACGCATGTTCGTTTGAGACAATCAGGGGAATGTTGCGCGATATATAACCATCAACACTATCCCACGGAGAATTTTCAATTCGACCTAATATTTACGATATAAACATAATAAGTTTAAAATTTTATATACCTATATATATATATATGTGCATGTAAATTATTTTCTTCTTTCTATTTTTCTTTCAATATTTGTTTATTATTTTCAGTTGCACAAGATTACTCATCATCGCGCTGCTGTAACTGGTGTGAAGGTAGTGACCACCTGTGATGTTTTTATATCATCGAGTCATGATAAAAGTATTTGCTTATGGTCATTGGATGATTACACGCTACTGAATAGTATGCAAATGAATAGCCCGGTATTACGTATCGACGTGTCATGGGATTCGGTGAGTTTAAGTTTTAAAAGTAAACACAAAACAAAAGCAATATTGTGCATAATTTAAACATTTCAAAACAAAAACAACGTATGAGAAAAATTTATTCGCTTTATAAAGAATCTTTCATAGTCAACGCTACAAGCCAATACATGAAAATTGTGAAATATTTTGGTAAAGTTCTTTAATAGAAATGTTTTTGTGATTTTTTCAACAACGAAAAGCAGACGAGCGAACCCAACCTTGCTAAATCGATTCAGACTTTTAGCATGAACAAACTATATATACTTTATGGCGTCTGAAAGACACATGAAAGATCAAGTCAAGCAAGCGTTACTTCATCCTTGGGCAGTGAATAAAAAAAAAAAATGTTACAAGACCTTTCGAGATCAATAACAAAAAAATTTCTTAATCAGTAATTACTCTTCATTATAGTTGTGTTAGAAAAACAATTATTATGGGTTTCAAATAAGCCATAATAAATGGGTACTTATATCCAATTTAAGAACTGCTTCATTTTTGTCATATCTTACACCACGTGCGGTACAAGCGTATATTAAGTCAACTTGTCTGTCCATCTTTCAATTCGTCCATCCGTCCTTCTTGTTTTCAAGCTACAGGCCGAAATTTTTCAGATGTTTTGATGAAATGCACTTGTGCACTTGACGTCTTTTGCTCCAAGGACGAACGCTATACAAAATGATTCGAACCGAACTACTTTTTCGACCAATGCCCATATAACATATCATTTTGAAAATGCGTTATGTGCCTGACTGTAAGTTGGTGTTGGACATTTAATGGTGGGACGTGATCCACTACATTGTTTTCACTTACTTTTAATTTGCTCTAATCTTTTAATGTTGTTTAATGGAGATTCTGAATCAGTTTTTAAACTTCATTAGTGTAAGCTTAAGTTTTTCAGCGCTGGTAGATGAGCAGACCACAGTGACACAAAAAATCACTTAAGAAGATAAATGATAAATGAATAGGCAAAATCTCGAAGACGAGTAACTGAAAATGCACAGACACGGACACTCGGAAATGCGGATTAAAGGGCAGAAAAAAGGATAGCTTTACGGTGAGAACGATAAGAGATGAGAATGATGAGAAAGGAAAGGGATGAATAAATGTGTCGATAGACAAGACAGATCGACCTGCAATTCATGTAGAGCGGCAAGCTGATTGTGTACAGAGTCTTTCTGCAAGGAGTGTCATTTTAAACTGCTTTCTATTTTGAGCAACGCAATAAGCCTTCTTATATATACAATAAAATCGAATCAAGTTAAATCCTCTCGAGTATTTAAGCACTCGGTTTTCAACCGACTAGCAGTAGTCTTTCCCACCATGGTTGCTATTTTCACTTTGAAGTGCAACGTGTCACCATAGTACCAAAACGTATAGGAAATATCCACTGAGTGACTGGTTAAATACCAAAAAAAAGAAAAGGGGGAAAACTTGGCCTTATCTAGCACTTGGATTTGGCTATGCCTCACATAACATATTAGGAAGATATTTCTTACTTTATTAGAGATAAATTTCTCTTATATATATATATATATATATATATATAATATATATGTATTCTTACTTCCTGGGCTCCAATGTAAGCATTGTTAAAATTGTAAGAACGGTAGTAGAAAACTAAAATTTTTCTCATCAGATTACAAAACGCGTACAAATGTCTCCCCAAAACTCGAAAGACTTTTGATATTGAAAATTTTAATATATTTTTAAGTTGTTCTTGTAAACCGTTTGTAATCTGTATAAGTAATAGTAGTGCAAGTATTTATCAGAGCAAGGAAATGGCCCGCACTCACCATCCACTGAGCCTGCCAGTAGTTTAATATGACCCGATGTTTGGCGTCTTCTTCTTGGAAATACAAAGATCTAAGATATCAGGGAATTCGGATTAGGACGTCCATGGTTGGATTTGTTTTACTTATTTGCAGATCAAGTTTTCCTATATTTGCCCTGATAATTTTAATTTTTTTCTTCTTCACTTGGTATTTATTTTCCCGCTTTTCTTTTCTTTTTTTTTTTAACAATTAATGCACATCATAATCTAACGTTTCTCTCAAACATAAACAAAGCCAGGGATTTGTATGAAAGGAAAAAAAAAAACTGAAATTGTAAACAAAAGCTTTTAGAATTTTAACTGGGTTACAAAGCCAAGAGAAACAAGAAGAAGAACAAGAAGGAATAAAAACTGAATAAACATCACCTACATGGCACATAATCATACCCCTTACAAGTTTGTGTGTGTGCACATAAAGCATTTATGTAAACTTGTGCTTATGCGACAGAACATCCTTGACAAGAACAACAACAGCAAGGTTTTTGTCAACCTTCGTCATCATCATCATCATTCACAACGACAACACTACTACACTCACATCATTACCACCTAAAACTTTTAGTAAGGCATTATCGTTTTTTGTTCTTTTCGTACTTTTTTTTCTATTCCATCTTTCATTTTTCCCGTATATTATTAAAGTCTACAAACTCATAAAAAATATAAAATATAATTTAAATGTAAACTCGTGTAAATTTATATAGTTGAGTCTAAAGGATTTTGAAAAAGTAAGAAAGTTACACTCATCTCGAAAGGAATTATGAAAAAAATCGGAAAAAAACCCTACGGGTTGCGCAAAGTGTAATATACACACACCTTTTACACACAAAACAAATAACTTGTTTTACTAACTATTGTGAAGATAACTTGAGTTAAACTCTAAAGTTTTTAATCAAAGTACAATTCAAATGACAAGAGCATGTGCAGGGACTAAAGGGTTTTACTTTACTATAAATATGACAAGAAAACAGCTACTCAGCAGCTGAAATTCGCACCTGTGATGGTCTGTAGTCGTGGCAAATCTCATGGGCAGGTACCAGATTGTCTCATTTCGCGGTGTGAGAAACACACTCAGCCTAAGCCAACATGTAAAGAATTCGGACCCGAGAACGGGCGCGAACAATTAACGCAAAGTGACAAAGCAATCCCTGGCACCTGGAGTGCAGTAAATTATCAGATTTACAAATTGATCCTGTAAATCAACTTACCTCTTCATCTTGAACACGTCCGTCCCCTAAGTTTTTAGTTGTTGTGGTGTGAGGGCCTTGCAGCCAGCCTGACCCGACCAAAGACACAGCCCTCACGTGCTGTAACGAAACATTGAACTTGGCAGCATACTCAAGTAAAAAATTGCTCTTGTCTATTGATGTTTATAAGAACTGACTCTATTGCCAAGTTTCGGACAAAGAATTGCAAGAAAAGGTGTGCAAACGGAAACTAATCAAGTTGGGACACAGGTCGGGTTATCATCTTAAGTGTAGCCCGTTCAATATAATAGTTCACTGCGATCCCACGAGAGCACATCTTTCATTCCTTAGAAAAATTTTCAATTATAAATTATGATCACTTAAATTGATAGCGAAAACATTAGATATTACATTACATAAAAATTATATCGCTGTTTGAAGCGGCAGCAAAACTCTAAACGATAAAATATGAAAATGATGTGGCGAACTTTACTTAAATTCAACGCAACATCATTAGGTATGGAATGAAAAGAATTATTCCGCAATTTGCAGCAATTAAGGACGTTAACGTTGGTTATTCAAATAAAAAAAGGTGTAAATTTTAATTATTGAAATCGAAATATAAATAATAACTAACTCGGATTCGGCAGATGGAAAGAGACCTCAGCTATCTGGCAACTTGCTAAGAGATGCATTCAACAAACATTTCTTCACAACTTGATGATGACATAAAATGTTCGTTCTCACCTTAGACTTTCCTGTAATAAAGGAATCGACGTCGAGTAGACACAACTGAATCGATATATCATCGCATAGCATTTAAAGCTATTTCAACGTGTAAGCGTGCACCCGCAGTAGGATGCGTTTTTATATTAAATTCGCCATAGAACCGATATGTTTTCTTCCTAACGAAAAAAACTTTACCGATTCATCACAGCTATGGTTTGAAGGACAAAAGAAAAAGAAATCTAGTCAAAAACCCTGATTTTATTTTAAGAATGTTATGGCTTCCAAAAAAGCATCGAATCGATAATCTGTTAGTCTGTCTAACCATTGCCCAGCTATGGTCTACGCAATCTTTGAACCAGGCAGTTACAAGTAAACTGTGGAACTTTCTCTGTTAGGAGGCTAGAACCACATTGCATTGTGGTTACAATTCCTCCTTGATATTGTGGCCCCATATTGATAAGACACCTTTCGTGTTGCTAGGCGTGTCTGTGTTTACCAGAATTAATTTTACGCGACCTTACCATTACACCATTTTTACTTAACTAATGCAGTAGTAAGTCTATCGACGCCTGTTGTATCTAAGGAAGTGCAACCGTATAGTTTCACTAAAAGAGAAATAAAGGTCTATGAATCATGCGTACGTGCCATAGTTGAGCTAGCTAGATCGTGAGATGTGGGAGAGGTTCTACATTTTTGCACGCACTTCGCCCTTATCGAATATGCGGGCATACAAAACCCTAACCTACCGTAACGAGGATCCTATGTGCCCCTAGGAGCTTTCCGAACACCCTTTTCAATCTGCTTTCCTGTCACTATAAAAAAAAAAAAACTTAGCACATTTGTAAGCACAAAAAGCTATAATCTAAAGTACTTTAAGTACGAAACCAATAATAAATACTAAGATCTTTCGTGTTTATAGGACATGTCAATACAAATACACTTTGAAAGCGGTGCAAACAAAAATGAAGTTAATTAGGTAATTGACATATACGAATCAAATTCAACATCTCCGTAATTTTTGGTTACCAGCTCCAATTTATTGGCGCATTCTTACCTTGACGGTGTCGCTTGTAATGCGAACCCATTGGTCGGCATCGTCTAAACAGTACACTTTTCTTTGCAACTAGTCGGCGTACATTTCTGCGCATACTTTGCGTGTTAAAAGCTTCATACAATGTTGGTCTCATTTATAGATTGCGAAATTTTTGCAGCGCCCTTTGTAAAGCCGAATTTTCATGACTAACGTTCTCTTTTCACATCTTTCTCGAGAAAAAAAAAATTTTTTTCACAATTTTTTCGGTTTTCATGAACCAATTTATTTGCGTTTTATTATTTTTTTCAAACTAATCTTTATTTTCTTTTTGCTACATATTTACATTTATTGGTCACTGATTGCTATCCGCTGATTTGTTTGCCAAAAGATTTTTAAAAATAATTGATTGCTTCTTCCAAAGAGGCGAAGCAATTTCTAATTTGGGCGTCAATAACAAAAAGCTTTATTTCAAGTGGAGTTCGTTTATGTTTCATTTTTATAATTACTTGTCTGCGACACAATTCTACTTCTTGATGTTTTGTCTGGTTAGGCTTTTGTTGCTTTGTGAGTACAAACAAATCACCGTTTTTTGTAATTGTTCCTGCTGTAATTAGCCATACTCATTCTATATATAATATAATATGTCTACAGGGAACACTTTGGTAGGGATGTGCTCTACTTAAACTAAATTCTTATTCGTTTTCTCAAGAAGCAATTCATTAACAACTTTTTTTTTCACACATTTTTAAGTTTTCTTGTTTTTCTTTTGATTCACTTTCATTATGCACACATACACATAGGTAATAAAAATAGCATTTCTTCAAGAAAAAAACATATGTTCTAAGTAGTTTTGGACCTATCATTTTTGTTAGCTACTACTTGAGTTTTTATAAATAAGTTTTTCAATTTTCTTTATAATTTTACTTTTCCAATTTTTTGTATTTGTGTTTGCTTTTTTTTTTTATTATCAATCCTTTTCAATTTTTTTATTATAAAATATTTTCCTGTTGAAATTTATCATAATGCTTAATTGATACTTTACGGCATCCTTTTGTTTCTTGTTTAACCCGCAAAAATCCAACAATTTCTTTTTTTTCTCAATCGGCGTCTTCCTCCTCCCGTAACGAAAAATCAGATCAAACAAAAAATCGACAAAAATGGCATCAAAACATCTCCCGCCATTAAACTCTTGCTTGCGCCAGAACTTAACAATCCTGTTAATGCATGGTTGTATTCTTCTTAAAAAAACAAGAAATGAAACAAGATTGCTAAGCTAAAACCTCATGTTACAGAGCATCGAAACGTGTTCCTGTTCTCTTTAGTGACAAGAAGACATTATTTTGCATTCGTATATTTTCTCGTTGCGGAAACGATGAAATCTGCTAATTTCTGATGGTGATGGGAAATAGCAGGGATCCGATTGGGAAGATTCTTCGGCAAGGTATAATAAGAGACGAGCTTTATAAACTCGGCGTAGACGAAGAATTTGTGAGTGTCCCAAGGGTCTCCCGTTACCCATCAGATTACCAGAGAAATCTTATCTTGCACTGACATGGCACTTCGGGAAATATCTGGTGGTTACTGTGGTTACCTCGAAGTTTCCTGGACACGCTAAACAATCAGAGCTCAGATAAGCCTCGAAGCTAACCAGAGTTGCAACAAAGAAAGCTCATGCGCGTTCTTTCTTACTTTGGTATTTCAGGAATAGCAGCACCCCTTTCACGGATTGCCCTACTCTTTGAGTAGGATTCTCGCTTGATTATCGCCTATGCTATTAATCCTCCGTGCTATCAGGCGTAGGTACTCGCATTAAACCGGCAAGCAAAGGTGCTGATTAAACGAACTTTTAAGTCACACGTTTCCTATAACGCGTAAAAATATTAATGCCACCAGTCAAATGTCAAAAATTAGTATCGTTATTTGTAGACAATGAACCAATAAAAAATGTTAGATATATATAAAATTTTTAATTTTGGGCATTATATAATGGAGAATTTGATTAACTTGAATCTATTATCCCGAACAAGAAAAGACAACCATCTATTCCTTTTCATTCTAGGTATTTTTGCTCGCTCACTGTGACGATAATGGTTTGTATGTGCGTACATTGGCAACAGGCAAAGAATTGCATACCCTAAAGGGTCATAAGTCTAAAGTAAGTATTTTTTGTCCAACTGGACAACAAAATTTACAGCTACTTTCAAGTGCGTTTGCGTTCCAGGTGCGAACCCTACATATAGCACGAGATAGTCAACGCGCAGTAGTGGGTTGTGAAGATACAAGAGCTTTGATATATGATATGCACTCAGGTCGTCTGATACGTTCAATGCCGCCGAATCCTGGCCCTGTTACAGCACTGTATGCTATGGACAATGACGATTTCTTAATTACTGTGGGTGGGAATAAAATCACTTTCTATTCATTTCGCAATGAAGAGTTGTACGTTCATCCTTATTCGCATAATCAACGGAAAAAACGATCCGTTAAACGCAGCGCTCAAAGTCAAAGATCGCCCTCGACTACATTACCACCTATTATCTGCTTTGACGTTTCACGTGATTCGCAACTGGTGGCCATTGCTTCCGGCAAACATGTGCACATAATGCAGATCAACACTCCACAATACCAGACTACTTTAGATGGTCACAGCGCACCAGTAAGCAGTGTTTGCTTCGCTCCCAATGGTGAATTTTTAACGACCGGATCGGATGACCGTGCGGTGCACGTTTGGAGCATAGCCATGAGTTCAATTATTAACACTTTTCGTGGTCATGTGGCTCCAATATGTTGTGTTATTGTTTTAATGGATTCACGTCGTGTTTTGTCGTCCGATCGTGATGGTTATTTATATGTATGGATGGCTCAGGGTGGAAATCTTTTACAAACTATACAGGGGCCAGGTAAACGTCTGTCTGCCACAAATAACATGAAATTTGCCATTTCGACCAATTGCGACAACACTCTAAAGATTTGGTCTTTGACAAGAGAAGATGAAAAGTACTCGGTAGCACATTCCGATGAAATTACTTGTTTCACCATTACCGCTGATAGTTTATATATTATAACGGGTTCACGTGATATGTCTCTGAAGGTATGGCAGGCTACTGGAGGAAAATTAGCCCAAGTTTTAGTAGGCCACACCGATGCTGTGACTTGTGCATCGGTATCGATAACCAACAAAACTCAAGTAATATCGGGATCGAAAGATACTAATTTAATTCTGTGGGATTTACATACCGGGGACGAAATTCACACATTGGCAGGTCACTTAGGAGCAATTATTGGTGTAAAAGTTTCAGCTGATGGCACGACAGCGGTATCAGGCAGTGATGATAAGACTTTGATAGTTTGGGAAACCAAAAGAGGTCTAGCTCTTACTTCCCTGCAGTTGCATGTACCCTTTTCCCGTTTTGACATTAGCATGGATTGTTCACGCATTTTGGTGCAACTTGTCGACAGTTTTAATTTGCCAGTAATATGTTTGCACAATACTCCAGCTCAATATATAAAATTGCCCACCTATTCGGCCCCAGCTAGAGATGTAGAAGGTATGAAGAGAGTTTAAGCACTATAGAGAAGTTTATATTTTACTTTATCAACCTTCTCGCCTTTTAAGATCTACGTCCTCAAGGTCCTAAACGTCAAATGAAACGTTTGCTCAAGAAGGAAGTGTCACTAGATACATACACTTGGCAGAAGAAGTACGGTCATCTTACATCTTCGGTGATGATGGCTCAAGTAGATGAGCGTTTGAAACGACGCTTCTCTGTATCAGCCAGTATGGAGGAGATTTCCAAAATAGCCGAGATGAAAACTATAACTTCACAAACTAATTTGGGTCCCGAACAAGCTGCTCTGGCTCAGTCGCAGCACTTTGATCAATTGGAGGCATTATGGAATAAACGTTCCCCGCCACGTCGGCGACATAATGCGGTAAGTAGTTGGTGGACTCTTAAAGTTCTACGATCTTTTAGAGTAAAAGCTTTGCGAGCTACTATTTCAAGAGCGTACAAGGAATTTTAGAGAACCTTTATTAGAAATTGCTTGCGTATTAATTTAGCGAATTTTCGTTTACAATTGACAAAGCTTTCACTTTTAAGTTCCAAATTAAATAAGTAAAACTGCTTTTAAAATTAGTATGAGTAGTCGAAAAGCTTCAAAAACAATTTTATTCTTTTTTTTTTTGCTTTTTATTTAAAAATGACGAAAAACAAAACATTTGCATTTTCAATCACAACACCACCATCACCACCACAACCAAATTAACAGGGTCTTTCACGTCAAACTTCCTTAGTTGAGGATCGTTTGGAGTCTTCGGACGACGATGAGTATCATGATGAGCGTACAGGTATGTTATCAGCATCCTATGATAATATCTATAAATTAGCACAAATTACTTCTGGCGGCATGACATCGCCATCAAAACATCATACATTTATGCACGCAAGGAGTAGTTGTAATTGTCAAACTTACGCATGCACTGATACACATTACAATAGTAGAGACGCTACAAGATCGAAAACTGTCCCTTACAATAATACCCTTACACAAAATCCCACAACACGCGCGCTGTCAGTCTGCAGGCAGTGTCAACAACCCGATCTGGTCAGAGATTTATGTGGTCAGAGTGATCCATTAAGTGATAATCGAAGGCAGCGTTTGCGCAGTTTTTTTCGTTGGCGCAGTTTAAATACGCGAAACGTTCGAAACGATCACTCCCACAGTTTACAACCCCACGTGTTAGCTCAGATGCACTGTGAAAATGCCGCCAAAACTCAAAAGAATAAGCTGACCAAAGCTCAGCCTATGCCCATAATAAATGTGGAAAATTTTGATTATCTGGCTGTACAAAAAATCCGTACTCAACTATTATTACATCCGCAAAATACTCAGGCCGTTGGTAATATATCTCAAGTCGAAGAACCAACAGCTCTAGATCAACAATCGTGGCTACATAAATGGCCTTTCAAAAAATTTATTCGTCCCGAACATTTGCCAGAGCTTAAGTATACCGATAATGCGGAGAGAGACAAAACTGGATTTTTTTCTAGAAAATCGCAATCGAAGAACACAAACAACTTATTAGCTAACACGAAATGTATTGCTCAGTAAATAATGCAAACCAGAACAACACCACCTTAACCTTAACTGCTTACTTCACCTTACACTTTTTACACTTGTTGAAAGTATTCTCGCCATTATGTCGTTAAGCATGAGTGTTTTTATTGTTATATCCTTTTTTCTGGATTTAATTTTTTGTAGTTATTGTATTTATACAAATATACCAGAAAATTGAATGTTAGACTGTTAGTGTTTGTATTGAGCTGGAATCGAAAAATAGGTAAGTTGCTCGCACTTAATGATTGTAAAGTATTCGGACATAATACCCGAAAATTATTTTGGAAATGTCTCATCTCTTTCAAGCGAATAGTTATCTAGCGTTAGCGTTAACAAATTTAGTAAGCATATCACTAGATAGAACTTTTGGTTAGAAGAAAGGGACCACAAACTGGGAAAAGAGCAAAGCCTTCTGCTCGACCTTAGATAGTGGGAAGAATTAACATTTCAGTTAGCATAACAATTACTATGCTTAAAAAAAGTCATTACATAAATTTCTGAGAGATAGCACTTCTTTCTTTCTATAAGCATTTAGCAAGTTGCGACTTCCTCAAGCAAATGTACTATCTTTAACAGCTGCGGATGAATAAGTTATCCCACCTGCATAATTTTCGAAAATTTCGGATAAATCTACTTTTATGCCGGAAAAGAAGCCAAATTTTCTCCGCTGTTCATACCGGACACTTCCTTCTGCTGGTTGCCATATGCTTCAATGTAAGTGTTTCACTCCTTACGATGACATTCAAAAAGTGGATGCTTGCACAGGTAAACTCGATAGTGGGCATAAGACAAGGTGTAGGCATGCTTTGAGAAAAATAGGCTACCCTTGCTTTGAAAAAACACTTTTCTTTTCCATAAAAACAACCCTTTTATGAATATTTTTTATGTCGAATGCGTTCACAGTACAAATATGAAGCATTAATCTTACTTTAGGTAAGGGTGTGAAGATAAATTCGAATTTAACTAGTAAAGACACCTACCATTTCTATTAACATACCTCTGTTAACGACTTAACAGAGCTCATGTTAAATAATTACAATTGAGATATGGTTGGTTTGAAAGCCTAATCCGTCCATATTAACAAAAAGAAAATATTTTTGTGGACATTTCATGAATCCATATAAAACTACCTTTCAAACAAACTAAAAAAATTCAAATTCTGCTTATGGAAACTATTTTTAACGGTATTTGAAATTCAGTATGTTAGCGAAACCTGCATATGAAAAAACACCCAAATTTGACACTCTAGTGCGGCCAAACTAGAAAATGTCGCCTATATTCACCTATACCACGTGAATCTATGTGAAAATACCTATCGATTAAGCAAAAAAAATTCACACTTTGCTTTCA